CACAACTCCGGGGAAATAAGTTAGGTAACTAGTTTATAAACAACAATTGGTTCAGATATGTTGGATAAACAGTTCTATACACAACAGTTGAATCAGTTTAGTTGAGTAAACAATTCGATACACAACTCCGGGGAAATAAGTTAGGTAACTAGTTTATAAACAACAATTGGTTCAGATATGTTGGATAAACAGTTCTATACACAACAGTTGAATCAGTTTAGTTGAGTAAACAATTCGATACACAACTCCGGGGAAATAAGTTAGGTAACTAGATTATAAACCACACTTGGTTCAGATCTGTTGGATAAATAGTTCTATACAAAATGGTTGAATCAGTTTAGTTGAGTAAACAATTCGATACACAACTCCGGGGAACTAAGTTAGGTAACTAGTTTATGAACAACACTTGGTTCAGATCTGTTGGATAAACAGTTCTATACAAAAGAGTTGAATCAGTTTAGTTGAGTAAACAATTCGATACACAGCTCCGGGGAAATAAGTTAGGTAACTAGTTTATAAACAACACTTGGTTCAGATATGTTGGATAAACAGTTCTATACACAACAGTTGAATCAGTTTAGTTGAGTAAACAATTCGATACACATCTCCGGGGAAATAAGTTAGGTAACTAGTATATAAACCACACTTGGTTCAGATATGCTGGATAGCACTGGTCTTCATAAGTTGGAAAAATATTAGAATAAGTCTGCAGTTTAACATCTTTTATAAAATAGTTTGGAATTATTACGGAATTTTATGGATAAAAGAGCAAACTGTTTTTTATTTCGCTAAGTTTTGGGTCATACGTCATACATTACCCATTTCAAGTCTCTTTTTAAAGTAGTAAATTCAATCATTATAATTTGATAACATTGTTTGTGTTTTAATTTATAGAAGTATTTTCTTTGGTTGTAGATGTATGGTCCTTTACTCATCATTACAGCAGACCTGCCAATATCAATATAAAAACCTAAAACAAGCTACATCCCAATACAATAATCTTCATTTGAACAACAAATTTATATAAAAGTATTCTGTTCTAATAGTATTAAACTGTTTATTTGGAATATCTCACCTTCTGGCACCACTCCTTGAATTCCTCAAACGAAATCAGTCCGTCCTGGTTGGTGTTTATGTGCTAAATAAACGGAAATGTTAAATCATTCAATTATAAGCGATAGATAGATAATAAGTGATGAATAAAACATTAACCAGTCCTTATAATTATTCATGTTGCCTACTAATACCTAAAATAAAGTCTATAATCACATAATGTGTGTTCACTTTTTTTATTTTTCAATGAACATTCGCTTTAAGGAAAACATGATTTGAAAGTTTTAGGAGTTAATTGTAATGAATACATATTGCTACAATGCCTTTTCTTTGCCAGTCCATAATGTGTTCTGTCATTAAAAACAAAAGTATGCTATTAATTTAGTTTAATTCCCTAAAATCTGGATGGGTACTGAACTGGCTTTAATTAATAAGCAGTAACTCTATACTAAAATCTGTAGAAATGAAAAAGGCAGGAAACTGGTGGGAATTCATTTTTTTACACTTAAGCAGTTTAATTCAGAAATATTTACTCGAAAGATTTTTTTAAGGTAAGTCGTGAACAATATATGTTTTATTAAGACTAGTCTGAAATAACATCTACGTTACTGTAAGGGAATAAATTTTACAAAAGGCTTTAAAACTTTTAAAAACATTATCAATTAAAGATTTAAAGATCATTTGCAAAGGAAAGAGTTAGAAAATTAGCGTAGGCGTGAAGGTGGTTTTTATTTTGTTCGTTTTGTAAACAGAAGGGCCGAATCAAACATTCAAAATACTAAGAACAAACGACAGAAAACTCTGGTGATACAAATATGTTACACAATTGACGGACGGTTCCTTACATGAAAAATGCGCTCGACGTGCTCTCTGGCGGAGTGTTCGTGAACTACAGGCTCAGTGTAATGGCCCAACATCTCATAGATAGAAGACACGATATGTAACATCTCCTGCTTGCTTATGAACCCGTCTCCGTTGATATCATAAAGGTCAAAAATCCATTTCAGTTTTTCTGTTATCGGTCCTCGCGAAATGGTTGACAGCAAACTGATGAATTGCTAAAATAAATTAACGGAAACGTTTTTTGGTTTTCTTTAGTGTGCGGTATTACCTTTGTTTTTAAGTATTTTTATTCACTAACACCAATGACAAAATGTTATTTCTGATAATATATTTTCTTTATCTAAATTAACATACTTAATTACTTAGTTAGCTTTACTTTTAATCACCTGAATAGTTATTATCGTTAATTGGTTTTTGTTTTGTTTTTACTTCTTGATGTTGTTTGTTATTTTTCTGGTTATAAACACATGGTTCTTGAGTCTTCTAGAGATCAATCAATCTCCTTATAGACATAAGATACTCAGTAATTCGACGGATAAAGCTAAGAGTTCATTTTGCTTATCTTTTCTTCGTTTTTGTTTGTTTATTTCTATTTCATATATCCTTGCATTTATTGGTCTTTGTCATTTTGACTTGCCCGGCATGGCAAGGTGGTTAGAGCACTCGACTTGCAATCTGAGGGTCGCGGGTTCGAATCCCTGTCACACCAAACATGCTCGCCCTTTCAGCCGTGGGGGAGCTATAATGTGATGGTCAATCCCACTATTCGTTGGTAAAAGAGTAGCCCAAGAGTTGGTGGTGGGTGATGATAACTAGCTGCCTTCTCTCTAGTCTTACACTGCAAAATTAGGGACGGCTAGCGCAGATAGCCCTCGTGTAGCTTCGCGCGAAATTAAAAAAAAAAAAACACTTTGATTTTTGTCTCTTATGCCATAATCAGCTAAAATAAACACAAGCTGTTAGACCTGGTTTTATTGAGTTAACCTTTCATGACGTATAGTTTATCCACTTACATGATAAACAGCTAAAATAAGCGGTTTAATCTATATAAGCTGTCCTAAGACCTGACTTTACTGAATAACAGTCCATGATGTAGAATTTATCTATGTACGTCATAACCATTTAAAATTAAAATTAAGAGAAGACAAGTGTTCGCCCCCCAGTAGCACAGCGGTATGTCTGCGGACTTACAACGCTAGAAACCGGGTTTTGATACCCGTGGTGGGCAGAGCACAGATAGCCCTTTGTGTAGCTTCGTGCTTAATTTCAAAACAAACAAGACAAGTGTTCATACTGGTTGGAGAGTTTCGCCAATTCAAACACATTGGCGGAATCATTCGAGCCAGTTTCCATTAAACTCAACAAAATACAATATCACTAGCCTTCTAGGTCAATATTTGAAGGTGGATAAAGTGAGTTTAAATTTACAAACTAACATATTTTGTTAATAATTGTTTTCTTTTCTACTATGCATTATCTCACAATATTGTTTCAAGTGTGCGTGCACGTACGACCGTACGTGCTTTTCTAGACATAATTATATAAATATTCAACCCAAGCACACTTCAATGACCACTGATAAATCTGCAGTGGTTCCTTGCCAGCGTGGTTTCTATGACAACGGAGGTGGTACAACAATTTGTACAAACGAGTTTCCTTTTGAGAGCAATTATTCTTCCTGTATTTCTGGTGGTTCGTCATAAAAAAAAAGTTCGTGTGGTGTATGTTCTAGAAAGTTGGTTTGTGCCTAGTAATCAAAGAATACTTTAGTGTACGATCATGCAATATTCCCCGTGAAGCTAGAACTCATACAGTCAAATAACACTCTATACATTATTGTGCACGATTATGCAATATTCCCCGTAAAGTAAAGATTTTAACAATCAAAGCAATCTTTATACATCATAATGCATGGTCATAAAATATTCCTCATAAAGCAAAATTTCATACTGTGACGAATTTATTATTATATATTTATTTTAATATCAACGTTTGTTAGATTAAGTTTATATTTAAAAATATGCATAGCTTATAGTGTTACATATGTATTGTGAA